TGTTGGGCCTCTTCCTTGCTTTGGTGAAGGCCCACTTAGGGTATCCACAAGCCCTAAGGGAGTTCTGGATGTGTAATTTCTCCTGTGTTGGGAGGACTAACAACAATAGGAGGGCCAACTCCAGTGGACCAGAGTCAGCAGTCCAACAACAGGACTAACCTCACCCCAGACGATGTATGCACTCTGCTGGAACTCAGTTTAAACACTACCTACTTCCAGTTTAGGGGGCACTTCTATAGGCAGCAACACAGCTGTGTGATGGGCTCCCCAGTGTCTCCTATAGTTGCCAACCTGTACATGGAAGAAATTGAGGAGAAAGACCTGTCTTCCTTCACTGGCACCGCTCCCAGCCACTGGTTCCGCTACGTGGATGACACATGGGTTAAAATCAGGACCCAGGAGGTAGAGGCTTTCACCAAACATATCAACTCTGTGGATGACAACATCAAATTCACTCATGAGGATCCCAGAGATGACTGTCTGGCCTTTCTGGAGTGTGCAGTCCACTTGGGAGGGGACAGAAGCCTGAAGGTAGAAGTATATTGGAAACCTACACACACGGGCCAATACCTGCTTATTGACTCACACCATCCACTTCAACACAAACTGGGAGTCATCAGAACTTTAAATCACAGGGCAGAGGAAGTGCCCACAACTGCAGAAGGGGCCAAGAAGGAAAAGTTACACATCCAGAACTCCCTTAAGGCAGAGGGATGTGGTGATAAATATCTCCGGCTCAACACCAGTCAGCCAGAACTGATGAAGCCTCTTGGATGAGAGTTGAAACGTCTTTGATCTAGAAATCTAGTCCAGTTGATTTTTTCTAGGTTTTTTCAGTTTACTATGACCTGGATGACTGAGAATCTGCACAGACATTTCTGTTGGAGGATTCACTCTGGTGATAGAATCCTAGTTGTCACTGCTCTGACTCTGAGCCTTTTCAATCACTAAACTATCTGTGCAGATTCATCATCCAGGTCATAGTAAGCTGGAAAAAACTGGACTAGATTTCTAGGTTGAAGATGTTTCACATGTGTGAAGCGGCTGCTTAGTTTCCCAGTTAACCTTAAACCAGGGAACACCCTGCGGCAGAGGCTGGTCCACCTGAAGGACAAAACACCCAGACGTAAACAGAGTGATGTGGTGTATGCAATTAAGTGTAGTCAGGAGTGTAACGACTTGTACATTGGTGAAACTAAGCAGCCGCTTCACAAACGCATGGCCCAACACAGGAGGGCCAACTCCAGTGGACCAGAGTCAGCAGTCCACCTCCACCTGAAGGACAAAGGACATCCTTTTGAGGACAGTGAAGTCCAGATCCTCTCCAGAGAACATCGCTGGTTTGAGAGAAGAGTTAAGGAAGTTATTTTTGTAAAAATAGATCACCCCTCACTAAATAGGGGTGGTGGACTAAGACACAACTTGTCATCGATCTACAATCCTGTTTTGACATCTCTGCCCAAACATGCCCACCAGGACAATAGACGTCGGTTCACAGGGGAGGATTCAAAGACAGGTAACGACTCTCACCGATACTGGGCTATAATGACTCAGTCATTAAGGGACATTGTTGGCCTTCTAAGGACTGAAACACCACCAAGGGGGCGGCTCAACACCAATCAGTCGGAACTGATGAAACCCCTTGGATGAGAGGTGAAACGTCTTCGATCTAGAAATCTAACAACTAAATTACAACATTTGCTATGAGTGCCAGAATGTGTCTCTCAGTTTCCTGTTCCATGCTTGTATTTTGTTGTTGCACAGGAAGTGCAACAACAAAATAAAAGTTTTGAATTAAGAGTTTCGGAAAGCCATTTCTGTTTCTGCCAGAGAACTTACTGTGAGATGTACTCTCTACCTAATAAACTGCTTGGCTTTCTTAAACATTTAAATCACTGTTGAGTAATGGGTTCTCTGTTACAAATGGTGCCCCTGAGTTAACAATTAGTAAAAGATTAACATTAACTGCAGTTTAATGCCACAACATGAACTCTGGTCTCCATCCCCCCAGCCCTCCACCTCTGTACAATAAGGACACACTACTTCCTGTATTCACATTGGAGGCCGGTAGCCTACTACAGATCTCAGACCTCACTGACCGAAGAACCAGTGTTTACCTTTGGTAGTTTCAGACACTTTGATGACACAGCATACTCAATGTAGGCCTCTTCCTGTCCACTGCTGCCTCGTCCTCCCTCTGTGTAGCACAGCTCCTGTGCTCGTTGCAGCATAGCATCCAGCTCTGCCATCACATAAACACACAGTGCTGATCGACTTGTTGCTACTGGTGTGGAGGCCTGCCCCGCTGCCATGACAACAAACAGGGTGGGTTTACTTGAGTGGTTTCCTAACCATGCTCCTTGAGCCAGGTTGTACCCGCCATGGCACAGCAGTGGCACCTCCACGTACGAGTAGAAGCTGCGGTCAGAGGTGCAGAGCCGGGAGGCATAGGTCCGATACTCCTTCTTGTGCCACATGTCACGACGGGAGAACAGGAAGTAAATGTAGTTGCCATGGGTGATGGCCTTCACAAAATGGTTATTATATTCAGAGTAACTTCCTACGACAAGTTTCCCCAGCTCCTCCTCCTGAGAAAATGCTCGGCGAGGTGGGACCACTGGGAACAGACGGCGTGTGGTGATTGGTGGGATATCACCGGGACCTTTGCTGGTGTAGCCTCGACCTACCAGCATGAGACGGAGCACACCGCCCCCTTCCTGGGTGTTCTCCGTAGTTATTACCACAGCAACGGTGGAGACTCGGGGGTCGTTGGCTGCTACGTACTGCGTGTCGACAGGGTTAGATGTCTGATAGATGAGCTGAGAGATGTTGGACAGACTCCTACCGAGAAAGAGCAGAGAAAGCCCATTCTGTAATACAGTACAGGATTGAACTAACCCAGACTGGGAACATGCTATCAGGTTAAAATGTTCCTGTTTGTTCTCCTACAGCTAATGTCACTCTTCAAACACACAAATAGGGTTGAATTCATAGTCTTAAATGTTAGTGTTACAGTTGTGTTTATGACTGAGCTCCACAATATTTCCATTATTTCAGCATTTATCCAGTTATATCAACACTTTTATGAGGCCTCTTATGAAAGGAACCATTTTGCAGCTGAGTATAAGATTCACTTTAGTAGGCTAAAGAATTCAGCAGATAAAATTCAAGCAGCTTCCACCACCAACAATCACACTGACTCAACTCACTGATCCGCATGAAAACCAGATGACGACAATGTAGCAAAATCTAACACGACAGCTTCAAACTGACTCGTCATAAAACCGTGTTACCTCTTGTCACAGATGCCCTGATACAGTGAACCACAGATGATAAGACTCCCTGGCTCCGCCCCCTGCCCTGCCTCCATCAGCAGCAGTTTGTTGTGGTTGTGAGTGAGTGAAGCTGAGGGACAGTCCTGGGGGACAATTGGAGGGAGGCAATCCGGAGAATCCAGGTGAGGGCCTGTCCTTATGTGTGACATCACTTCCAGGTCAGAGGTCAGCTGGTACAGGTAGTTGACCCCACCCACATACAGATGGCCCGACCCTGGGTCCAACAGCAGGTGAGAGAGGGGAGCACCTTGTAGCTCCACCCACCTCACTGAGGGGTCAGAGGTCATGATGACATCAACAGTGAGGGAGGGAGAGGGAAGGAGGAGGAAGAAGAGGAGTGACAGGGGGATGGAGGAGGCCAACATGGCAGCTCCTCTTTACCTGCAACAAGTGTGAAAGAGAGACACAAAGAGAGCATGAAAACTCAGCCAAACAGCCTGTCTCTTTCAAATTCTACACTCGTCAGACTCATCTGTCTGATGACATCAAGTCAGCTAAATGTTGGCTGAAACTGGGCAGGGAGGGGGCAAAATGTTGGCAGGGCACCAGCTAAATGTCACAAGCAGGGTGTCAGGTAGATGTGTGGGGGCTGTTGGACATGCTGGACGTGAGCAGACACTGTGTGTTACCAAAGTGACGCCTCAGTGTGTTGACATGATGACTGTGTGACGGGACACTGCTGAGTTTAAACTGCAACTGTCCAGGGACACACTGCAAGGTTCATGTTACTGTTCTCTCACAGTGATCAGTTCTGTTTGGTGATCTGAGTTGATTTTAAGCTTTATCATTGAACCACATCAATGATTGTGTTTCAGTAGAGCCGTGAAGTTAATTTAATAAAATGTTGTGTTTATTCTGACACATCTGTCATATTTAAATACTGAGCCAGTACCTGTACTGTTATCAGTTACATCTGTTCATCAAGTGTAATTAGTTTTCAGGTTAAATTATTCACACTCTGTTTTTTCTTATTTCTTTTTTTTTATTTTGTTTTGCTAAATCCTATTTACATATGTTTATATTGTCTTGTGTTTCTTTTATAACTTGTCCTACTGCCTTCATGTCTTATGTAAAAGTTTGAATTGCCTGTTGGTGCTGTCCAGATACGTTTCTCTTGCCTTCAGGTCTCTGTTCATATACAAGTCAAAAACTACAACTATTGCTTATATCTACAAAATGTAGTCGAAAAATCCACAGCATAATTTCTCAGTGCATGTCCTATTCGATCTGTCCAATCTAAAGTTATTTATTCGTGTCAACTAATGTTTCAACAGCTAACTGACATGCTGCTGACTGTCAGCTTCCCCTCCAGCCTGCACAGAGATGCAGGTTCTGCCTGAACACTCATTTTATGGTATTCACACTTTTCCCTCCCAGCAGCAGAAAAACCTCTCTGCTGTTTCAGAGCAGAACTGAACCGTGACGTCTCAAATTAAAGTCGAGGAACATGAATCTGTTTCACATCCAGAAATATGAAATATGTAAATACACCTGAGCAGGTGAAGCTGAGCCCTGCGGTCACTCATCTGCTTCTGCTTCTCTTTGTGAAGTTATTAATAAAATATTTTGCTGCACCATACTTTTCATCTCTCGGTCAAACTGTAGCTGCCTGTAGTAACATTGCCATGGCAACACACCCGTATCCACAGCAACGCAGTGAAATGTCTTGAATCTCCTGTGGGCTGTTGTTTTTTTTATGATAGAGTGGAGCTTTAAACTGGTGTCACACTGGTTTCACTCTGAAGGCAGTTGTCTGTCTGCATGTCTTCAGTCCAATAATCTCGTATACATTCATCAGTAAATGTCCTGATTTCTTCCCTGCCTTCCAGAGGATGATGCCTTAGATTTTAATGCTGTTCACTGTAGCACCACCCTCAGAACAAACTACATTTAACTTAGGAAAGGCTCCCATGATCCTGCTGAGCAGCAGTGGTTTGTCAAATCTCTTCAGCCTCTTTAGCTTCTTGTGTGCATCTGGGGTCATCTCTGGGACCCCTGTTATTTTCCTTATATGTGCTTCAATCCACCTTTTTAAGCAACAGAAATATGTGTTTCTTATGATTCTAGCTTCTTAAATGTGATGTTTTTTTTTCATATATGATTGTAAACTAAACATTGTTTTATTTTTGATCAAAACAGAACACTTGAAGACTGAACTGTGGGGAATCCTAACCAGCTTCTTCTCAACTTTCTGACATTTTATGAACAAATAATCAAGAAAACAATCTGGACATTAATCAGTAAAAATGATACTGATTTCTATAAGTTTAATGGTTGATATGATTATTGTGTTTTATTTTATGTTCACTTTGATAAAACTGTGCACACACACTGTGTTTGACCTGCCAGTGAGCTTTGCTGCAACAAATACAGTGAAACAAATTTCACCTGTGTCACATTTGTAAGTGACGTTTCACAGCCCCAGCACAACTCCAGCCTGACCAGCATTAACTTACTGTATATGACTTAGTGTGTTGTTTGTTCTGTTTGCATTGATGTGGCTGCAGCATGTGGGGGGCGCTGTCAGGACTTCACTCTGTTAGCCTGGTCTCATGTCTTTCAGGAACATTATTAGCAGTGTTTTTTACAGTGCATGTTTCTTTATGATTTAAAACACTATTGATCTTTGTCTCCCTCCTGTTTAAGTCATACTCGCTCAGCCCTTGCTCCCTCCCATTGTGTGTTAACTTGCCTCAGTGCTGGGAAACAGAGGCCTCGGGACACAGTTAACACACAGATGCTTCAACATTTCCATGGTAATGCTCGTCATCCCCACACAGGCGGGCGTCTGTATGGAAATAACTTCCTGCTGCAGCCTGGTGGGTATGTGTGTGTGGGTGTGGTGGTGGTGGGGTCATCAGTAATTTATGCAGCTGAACAGAGAGGGAGAGAGCTGTCGGTTGTCAGAAAGTAAAACAAGTCAAAGCTGGAAGAAAGAAAGAGAGGTTATGAGAAGGACAGAAGAGGGATGAGAAAGGGGTTAAAATGGGAGTGAGGAGAGAGAGGTGGGGGGTGAGCTGGAAGCAAGGCTGCATTAAAGTCAAAAATAAAGAAAAAGGCCCAGAAGGAATATCAATTCCATGTTAGATCTGAATTCAGATCAGGTCAGTCCCCCTAAACCCTGTTTGAGGACATTTCTGCACTATGAGGACATTTTGGGATAGTGAGGACATAGTGTGTTCAAAGGGCTGTTTGAAGTTTTTATTCATGCTCTCTGATTGGCTGTCAGATATACGTCTACATCAGATACTGTGAGTTAAATGAGCTACATGCTTCTTGCGCTGCACTCCACAAACACTTTTCCTAGTTACATCAGTGGCCATACATTCCTTCTGTGGCTGTGGAGACTCTGTACCATGTTCAGTTTCCTTCCAAAACACAGCAATAATCACATAAGCAGCGTTTGTGCAAACAGAAGTATCAACATACAGACACTAACCCTTTCTGCAGACCGGCCCACAGCGCCCACTACAGGCTTGAGTGGGTATGTACACATTGACTGTTGTGAACAATGCACACACACCTGCAGACAAATAGCATGGAGCGGTTTTAGCTGTGGGAAGACACCGTGAGACTGTTTTTAATCCTTTATCATGTAAGTCACACTGCATGTTTTAATCAGCCAGAACCTGCAACATCTCTGCTCACACCGTCAGGCTCAGCCAATCAGAACTTGCATTGAACATGAGTACAAAGCTCCAGTCAGTTTTTCCCAATTCCAGGAAAGTTCGTTCAAACAAGATTGCTGCACCCTAAATGTTGACAGAAAGAGGGTACCATCTCAATTTCCTTAATTTAACCCATGTCTTAGACCCGCCTACATAAGATGTAAGTAGAGAGGAATTGAGGAAAGGCCTTTTTACAGAATTAGGATAAGGATAATCACCTTTATTGGCCAAGTATGTTACCATCCATCCATTCATCCATCCATTTTCCTTCGCTTATCCGGGACTGGGTCGCGGGGGCATTAGTCTAAGCAAAGATGCCCAGACTTCCCTCTCTCCAGACACTTCCTCCAGCTCCTCCGGGGGAAAGCCAAGGCGTTCCCAGGCCAGCCGAGAGACATAGTCCCTCCAGCGTGTCCTGGGTCTTCCTCGGGGCCTCCTCCCGGTGGGACATGCCCGGAACACCTCCCTAGGAAGGCGCCCAGGAGGCATCCGAAACAGATGCCCGAGCCACCTCAGCTGGCTCCTCTCGATGTGGAGGAGCAGCGGTTCTACTCTGAGCTCCTCCCGGGTGACCGAGATCCTCACCCTATCTCTAAGGGTGCGCCCGGCCACCCTGCGGAGAAAGCTCATTTCGGCCACCTGTATCCGGGATCTTGCCCTTTCGGTCATGACCCAAAGTTCATGACCATAGGTGAGAGTCGGAACGTAGATTGACCAGTAAATCGAGAGCTTCGCCTTACAGCTCAGCTCCTTCTTCACCACGACGGACCGATACATCGACCGCATTACTGCAGAAGCTGCACCGATCCGCCTGTCAATCTCCCGTTCCATCCTTCCCTCAATCGTGAACGGTCCTGGTTTGATGGGGCCAACAGGACAACATCATCTGCAAAAAGCAAAGACGAGATGCTGTGGTCCCCAAACCGGACTCCCTTTGGCCCCTGGCTGCGCCTAGAAATTCTGTCCATAAAAATAATGAACAGAACCGGTGACAAAGGGCAGCCCTGCCGGAGTCCAACATGCACTGGAAACAAGTCTGACTTACTGCCGGTGATGCGAACCAAGCTCCTGCTCTGGTCGTACAGGGACTGGACGGCCCTTAGCAAAGCCGTTTTTTTTGGCTTTGGCTGTGATTGAGAAAACAGCAGTGGATACCTTCTCCTTCTCTTTCTCCTTTAGAACTTTGCCAAGTATGTTACACACAAGGAATTTGTTTCTGGTACAGAACCGAGGCAGCCATCTGCGGCGCCAACTCAACCGATGGCTCTAACCATCAGGGGCAACTTGGGGGGTTTAGTGTCTTGCCCAAGGACACTTTGACATGTGGACTGCAGGCACTGAGATTCAAACCTCCAATCCTCCGGTTGGGAGATGACTGGGTCGAGGATCAAGGAAGGATTAGTCAAAGGAACTTGGATGTGCCCAGAGAAATAGGGGGTGTTACTCTTTGCCGTTGTGCAACAGAAGGAGAGCCAGAAGAAATTTAAGGAATAGCACAGAGCAGTAGACGTGTGAAGACGCACACTACGTCGTTGCGTGTCACAGGTCGGTCTCTTACCAAAGCTTAACCATAAATGTACTAATACCATTAGCACAAAGCACGCTACATGTTTCTTCACAGCTGCCATGCGGTAAGTGAGATCATGGAGCTGCTCACACTGCTCACAGCCAACCAACATTTCACACCTGCCAAAAATCCAGCCAATTGCCCAG